GTATTACAATATCTTAATTTTGTTTTTCCTTTCATGGGGACATTTATGTATTTGATGGAATATTTATTAATACTTTATTAATTACATTATTTATTGATTTCATTATTTATTTATTGTATTTTGAATGAAACAGCTCTCCATAATAATCAAGCCATCAGAGTGTGACGCTTTAAAAATAAACAAAGATGAAGGCATAAACCCTCGGGATTTCACCCAGTGACTGATGAGTGTTCAGATCATTACCCGCTGTTCCTAAAACCATTTATTCACACAGATCCAAAGGCTGAGAAGAAAAGAAAGAGACAGGAGAAGTGATGAAATCTTAAAATAGATAAATGAATAAAACGGGATGCTCTAATATAGAAAATGGCTCTAAAGAAAAAAAAGATTGCACTTTCAAAAATATGGGGGAATCAAAACCACAGAAATGAACACCAGGATGTAAGTTTACATAAGCGTGTGTTTAAATTGGCAAGTTTTTTTTGTATCACAGGATAACAGATCCAAAAAAAGTCTCCCTCTGTTGCCATGACAACAGCTACCGCTCTCAACAGGTCGATGAGGCCCGTCTGAGCTCAGGCACAAACACACTCTCAGATTATAGATGACACGTTGACACTTGTGAAGAATACACGCACTCACGCGCGCCTGTGCCGGTGATAAATGGCCCCCCGAGCTCGGCGGCGCTTCCTTTATGCTGCGTAATTACAGCGTTTAAACATTAGAGGTCAGGGCGAGCGACGGAGAGGTCGGCGGGGCGCGCAGGCCCACCTTGCATGTTATCTAAAATGAAATCACAGCAAGTGGTAGTTTAGTTAAAAGCGCTTGGTGAAAAGAAAAACAGCTCCGGGCTGGGCTATTTTTGTTCATTTTCAACTAAAATGAGGAAATAATAAATATTCACAACAGGACAACAGGAGCTCCCAGATAGTATCACTATATCGGAGATTTTTTGAGTCCAGATAAGAAAACAACTGTATTTTTGTGAGAAGCAAGTGGTGTTTATGTGCAGAAACAGCTTCCTGATGTGTGTGGATGCAGTCCCAGTGCGACAGTATGTCCTAAATTTATACAGTCAGCTGCTTAAACTCCTTCATGAACAGATTAAGATGAATTTAGACGTATGAGAGTAAACACTAATGGAGTAGCTGTAAATCTTTTCTGCTTCAAATGTTTTTAACTTTATTGATTGTTTGTTTACAGCTGCCACACTTAAAGCGAAACCTTAACTAATTCGACGTGATATTTATTTTATTCATGCTGTTAAAGATGGATATTGCTGTTGTTGTTATGGCAGTAACTTTAAATTATTAATTGACTCGCGACTTGATTTGAGTCCCTGCTCAGAGCACTATGTGCTGTTTATTTTTCATTTATTTATTTTTTGTTCGGCAGACAGAAGATTTGTTGTYATGTTGATAGAAAGAAAACCTCAAGGGATTTTTTAAATTATGGGTCAGGAGCCCAGAATCAGTTACAGGCCTGTGTTTTAGTGGGTCCCCTGTCTGAAGTGGGCTTAATGGTACGAGGGTTAGCGATTCGTTTTGTTGTATTTTGAGCAGAATGAGCTGAATGAGCTTGTGGCAACACTGTTCAAAGGTTGGTTTTAAATTAAAAAATATATATTTTGAAGTTTTTTTTTTCAGTGCTTTCTTCTGCAGAGCTACGTTTGACTGAAAACAGTGCTACAAACTTAACAGGAAGCCACACAGAGCAAGGTTACATTAACAATTAAAGGCACAGAGTACTGGGGTTTCGGTTAACTTTGTACCCAGTGGATGSTACAGTATTACCATTTTGCTCATAGCAGCTGAAGTTTTGTGTTAATAGGCTGCAAAGTGGTGGGCCCAAAGCTGTTATATGTGGGTTTGAAGCAGGTATGAAAAGAACTGACWGGTGTTGTTTTTGTTTCCAATGAAAGGCAAAGGTATGGAGTGATCAAAGCGGATGCAGTACGATTAGGCGACAGTATAGATCTTGTTGCTCTGACAAGGAAAACCTTAAGTACACTGGTTGAAGTTCTAACTCGGCACAACCGGCTCAACYGCCACAAAATGGTGATGGGACTCCATGCCAATGGTCTGCGTGATGCCTGTGGCATCAAATTAGAGACCTCTTATGCCACTACCTGGGTCTGTGCAGTTAAAGGAAAACAACGTCTTGGGGACCCCTTTAGAGTCCAAAGAATTTCAGAACACTGAGTGTTTCTATCCTTGTGTCCTTCATCAGAGGAATGCAAAGGTTTGAATAAAACTCTGTGACCACGAGGGCCCTGCTCACTTTTCACCAAGCCCAGTTTACCATAACCACTGATACCCACATATTTAATCTAACCTAAAATTAAAATGACTCAAAACCACGTTTAATGGCCTAGTAACAAATAAATGTACTCATTTTTATCCACCCCAGAATTGATCAGAATAAGTTTATCTGGATTATGTCACAAAACCACTTATTTTTTACCCTTTTCTGCATTTAGAATATAGATTTGTTTTTATTAYATACTGTATGGAATGTATACAGATAGGTCTACCCATATTTCTTGGTCTGACATTCTATCAGAGTTTACACAACTGAAGGTCAAACACTGATGATTCAGGGTTTAATCTACTTGATTTTGTTACCAGTTACAGCTCAGCAAAACTCCTGTTCCAAGTTGACCCAAGTCAGAAGCAGAGGAAGCAAAAGCCTGGTTTCATGTCATGAAACATGTCAGGGAAGTTTGTTCCTCGCTGCTTTGGTTTCTCTGTATTTGAACGTTAGTATTAGAACTCATTTGACCTGATGCTGTTTACATTATACTTTGAGGTCTGGAGTCCTGCAAGGGGGGAACAAAAGTACCAAAGGAAGACAAAGAATAGATGAAGAAAAGTAGAGTGAGGGCAAAAAGAAGAGGAAGGAGCTGACAGCTGTGGTGGTTTGTAATTGTATTGATGAAAACCAGACCTCCTCTGTCTCTCCTTCACGTTCTCTCCTTTTCTTTGCCTCTATCTCCTCACTCTCCATTCTCCTTCTCTCAAAGGCCTGAAATAATGAGGTCAGTCCCCTCTCAAGGATCGTTCCAAATAAAAACCCTCTGCGTCTCTTTCTCTCTCCTCTCGCTCTCCGTCAGCGTCCCGTCTTCCACGCGTACGGCCTGCTCCTTCGACGCACCCATATTAGGACATGCAATGTGTGTCTAAGCCTCCTCCTGCCCACACAAAAAGGTCTCTAACTTAGTCAAAGTGTTTTATTGTCAACCAAAATTCAGGCGCTTTGATCTCTCTGCTTGTGTACTCTGCTTGTTCACATTGCTGTGTGTATTCATACCTCTCTTACTTATGTAAGGATGCTTTCTGGTTTAAAAATAACTCTCTGCTGAATGAAATGGCAAGACTTGATTTATTTTTCTAAACCATATCATTTTTAACCAGCTTCACAAACCTAAATTGTATAGAAATATGCATTAAAATTTTTATCCAATGTTTACATGTGTTGTAAATATCTGTTTTGCACAGTTTATATTCCTTAACTCAGATCTCAGACCATTTGAGATCATCATCCTGATGACCATATTCGCTAACTGTGTGGCCTTAGCTGTGTACATCCCTTTCCCTGAGGATGATTCCAACGCCACCAACTCCAACCTGGTGAGTAATGCACATTATTCCACAAGGTTTACAATTTATTGCAAGTTTTTATTGCTGCTTGGTCAGTTTCTTAACAGTGCGACAACTACTTTAAAGGTGCATATTTGATTAGTTACCTGTTTGTCTCGGCAGTTGTTGCACGTGATTTGTGGCTGAACCTTTGTATTGACATAGTTCGGAAAAGTTTGTGAGTTGTGATGGACTTGCGACCTGTCCAGGGTGTACCCCACCCCTCACACTGTGACTGGTGGATATGGGCACCAGTGACCCACGCGACCCTGAAAAGGAAGAAGCGTGTACAGAAAATGGATGGATGGATGGATAGTTCGGAAAAGTTTGTGATGGTGAAATGCACTCATGAAGCATTGTCTTGGTTACTCATAATAAAAAGTTGAAATAATTAGATAGTTTAAGTTATTTTGAACAAGTAGTTTTTGTTTTCTGGATAAAAAACGGTGTTCATTGGGAGTGAAAGTGACATTTGTCTGAACTTTGCTATTTTTGCCTCGGTAAGCCTACGATTGATGGATGAATAGAGAAATAGACAGACAGTGTTGATAACCTGATGCTTTTTCTGTGGTGATTTTCTTCCTTCTTCCTCGCTGTATCAAACCTCAGAGTTGTCCACTGAACTCACCAGCTTTAAATTGCAGCACACGAACTACACCTGTGACAGACTATAATTCCTGCATCACATTTCCTGACATTCATGCTAATAAAGAAAATGGGTTCGCTCATGTGGTGACAGTAGTTGCTCACAACCAGTTGCTCCCTGAGTTGTCATTCTGAACCCGACAGGATTTTCAGCTTGATTGAGCATTTTATGGTTAAACAAAATGTGAGTTGTAGCAATGGAGCTCATTTCCCATCATGCCTGTGAGTAGCTATGACTGAGTCAAGGAGTAAATTGTTAAATGTGTTTTAGGCTTCATTAAGTGTTCAGAGTTGAAAATGTTATAGGTTTACGTTTTAAATAATTATAGAGGATGTATTTTAACCACCTATTGGAATGTTTTCATACACATTTGATATCTTCATAATATCACTAGGTATTAAGTATAAAATAGTAGTTGTAATAAGTTTAAAGTTCATGTTTTCATGAGGTTTCCTGCAGATTTAGTAGCAAATTTTCACAACAAGAAGATTAATTGGATGCTGTTTTGAATATATAGTTTATCAGCACTTTTTTTTCACTGTCATTGTGTTTTTGGGGTTGTAAAAGGTAGAAAATTAAATTAGCAAAAATTAAAGCCATTAAAAAGTAACAATAGTCATGTGATGAGGTATTAATTTTTTGAACAACTTACCCAACGAAGGTTTTTTCACAGCCTATCCAAAAAATCCCATCTCCCTGTAACAATAAAAAAAACTTTATGTGGGTTTGGGTTAAATGACGAATGCTTGTACTGTATATACAGATCAACATTTTTATTGAGGCAAATAAGTAACTATGTATCCAGTATATACTAATACTACACTTACTACAAAAGTTAATTAGTAAAATTACACTAATCTAGTTCTTTATAATTGGTTACCCCCCAACTGAAGTTGAAGTTGTCACTATAGCTGCAGCTCGAAGTCGTTGGTATAAAAAAGTGACGGTATTAAAAAAAGGTATTAAATTTATTTTAAGGATTTCTGTGTATACCCTGACCATTTAAAGTTTGATATTAGAGTCAAACATGTCAATAAAAATTTTGAAACTAATCCACTTAATATAGATCAGGGTTAGTTTCAGGGTTAATTGTATAGTTTGCAATCTTTCTTGTGACTTCATACGCTCTGACCCTCGCCATAAAGAAACAGCCAAAACAACAACCTTTAATCCCTGCAACAAACGTCAGCTTCTGTTACTCTGCCTCTTTTCTTCTTTCTAAAGATTATTTTCCCCACAGTTACATATTCCTGAAAGCTTCACCATGCATATCTAATCCCTTGTCTCTACTCATGTATGGTCGGTTTAGTGGATTTATTTTTTTCTGTTCAGTTCTCTTTTAGATTACCCATTCACAAGTTATCAGGATCTAAAGCGCAGTTAGTTTGTCACACAATGATACCGAGTGATATCAGCTGTATGAGTCAGAGGAGTGAATACAACTGAGGGAGAACAGCTGTTTGTATCCTCTCTGCATCTTTGAATCCTGTAAGAATCAATGAAAGATGAGTATTTTTGCACTCACCATGTATTAGCTTTAAGATTGTGGCAGAAAATACTAGCTTAGTTTTCCTGTTATTCATGTTCTGTCTCCTCCGACCACTCTGAACAGATAAACTTACACACAAGCTTCTCACCACCATCACAGCTGTGGTCAATTAGTTTTATAACCTTCTCTCATACAGGAAGCAGCCTGCAGATGGACCAAAGGCTAAAATATATGGTTGAACTATACAGTGCATCTGTCTGGGTGTTAAACGTTAATCAAACTGAGCTGGTTTTGGTCAAACGCTGCCGTTGTTAAATGTGGGTTACTCTCTGATGTGGCTTTAAAATTGACTTCAGTTTCCACATTTCCAGTTTTGCATCTTTAACCAGAACTGCTAAGATGAACCAAATGAGGATCCCGAGTCGGTTTGTGTCACTAAAGGCTGTCACCGTTTCATCATTCCCATAATTTGAGTGTATGTATCACTCATCCTTAAAGTTTTATTCTCATTAATCACCAGATGAAAACATTTGCACCATGACGGTGGTTTAGTATTCCATAGGGATGCTTCTTATATTTCGCCTGCAGTGTTTCTAATTGAGCCTTTGAATAAATATGGCAGCCCTTGTTAGCGTTAACTTAAGCCCCCCGTCTTATGTAACACCAGGGCTGTGTTCAATTGCTTCCTGTTCAAGATTTCTATTTCAGTCCGCATCCCATAATGCGCCGCTTTGTCTCCTTGACGACATGCCCAATAATAGCAGCAGGAGAGGTTGTCATGGATATGGTAACCGTAGTGATGCTCCTCACAGTTACAGGAGAGAAGCAGGTAGGAACCAAAGTGTGAGGAATCCGTCCTGTTTCAGGACGATAATACCAGCTGCACATCAGAGTTGTTTTAGAGGTTTTTATTTTACTTTTCTTTTTCTCCACATTCGCTTTTTCTCATTTGTTCTCTTGTCTCTCCATCTTTATGAAATCGATATGAATGCGTCCAAATTGACAGAACGATGATGTCATGAGCGAGTAATTAACGAATCAATAAACCTGATTAGACATTGACTGATGCTGGGGTGAGTCACGGGTGCACATTTACACACAATCATACATTTTCCTCAGAGTTAAAAGTCTGAACTAACATTGGTTGTGAGTAGATTTTTTACATGCGTGCACACTAAAGATGTTTGGGTAAGTGACAAAGTGTTCAGTGATGGATGAATTAGCTGCTGGCTCTGCAGAAGGTGTGTGAAACCAGCATCTTTTATATAAATGAATCACCTCTTGGAGTGAAATGAACCCCACCACAAAAACGCATGCTCACCTACCCACTCACTCTGTGCCTTATTTATAGGTTTCTCTTTATTTAGACACAGCAGTGTTGGTCATTAGTTCAGAGGCTTTAAATGATCTGTTTGTGGAGTCATCCTTCTAGTGTGTTGAGACCAAAAGTAAACGGAACACTGTGGGTGGTGCTATTATAGATTAAGCCAATGAAAGGCAGCAAAACAATGTGTTTTTTTTTTTTTTTTTTTTTTTTTGCGAAAATGCAGCCTCACAACTATCTTTAATGTTATGGCTTTCACTTTAATCACAACAAAATTTGCATTTTTTTTTCCTTTAAATGCTTTCAGAGTTTTTTCTTGGGGGAGGGTATTCTGTATTTTCCAGGCACATACTTCAATTCTATACCACAATCAGCTGTTATGAAAAAACACCTAAAAKGAGCTTTGTACCAGCAAGCCTTTAGGCAGGTCCACATGGCTACCATAGGAGATTTAAGGATTTCTCAAACATGCATGAATGGGTCAAAGCAACACTCTGGTGTGTTTTTGATGAGGCAATGACATTATAACAAGATGTAAAACTCAATTGCATAATACCCCTTTAAAAATGTTTATTATGCAGCTTTATCAAGCCTGAACGGCGATGGGTTTGTGTCTTCCTTCACTGAAAATACCCCATGTTTTATTGAGAAGAAAAGAAAGAGATGGATAGATCCAAAGAGATCCCACTAAARCACAGAGAGAGGTGGTCTTTTCCTCTTTAACTTTAGACAGGTTTGGTTTTAGAGTTACTGCTGCTCAAGGGCTACAGTTGGTTGAGTATTAACCCTGTTATCATTATTTTAATGTTCACTGACTTCATGTGTAGTCTGAGATAACGAGTGAACCGATGTTTTAATACGCCATATTTGGCATTAGGGTCTTGATTTCACTTTAACATTGATCTTTTTTGTGGGTCAGCATTGATAAAAAAGCAGTAGGTTCTAAAGGGTTGAGGTGTTTAGTGCAGGCAGTGTTCTGTTGCATTTAAACTCAGAGCGTTTGACTTTTCTCATTTTTAACATTGGTATATTTTAGTCTTCTGTGCACCCCCTATATTCTGCTTTAAAGCATCAAGTTAACAAGCTGTTCCTTTGGATGCTCCTCTTCTAGTTGCTAGGATTGTCTATTTATAGATGAAGAGGTATGATGTGTGCAGTCACTTATCTAAACAAAAGTGGTCTGTGGTTTCTTGTGCTCGCATTGACATTAAAAAGCTCTCGGTGGAATGCAGCTTATTATTCACACACATAAGCTTACATGTATGTGAATAGTAATGTTTCTGGTTGTGTGTGTGTGGACGGTTAATTCAGCTATAATTAAACTGGTTTAATTAACATGTTTACCTACTAGATGAGTGAGTGTGACAGTTGGGGTCTTTCGCACATCAATCAGCTGGTCCATCTACACATATGTGATCAGTTGACGTCATGCTGCAGCCAGGGGAGACATTATCTGGAAATCATGAATGCTTTTCTATAATTTTCCTCCCACGAGAACGCCGATTTATCCCAGTTGCCATTATAGCCTTAAG